ACTCTTTCCTGTCAACTGCATAACCTGATTTTAAGAGACATGTGCAACTTCCAAAATTAATTTTTATGGAGGCACTTTACACTTCATAAGCCTGTAGGGCTTCAATAAAATATATTTTTAAAAATTCTTTGAAAGCAAACAAACAAAACAAAACAAAACCTAGAACAGTGCTTCTCTTCCATACTATTTCAATTATATAGAAAGTGACATAGGAGTAATGTCACTTGATAACACTAATGCTTTTCCACAGGGATATAAAATGTCCATTTTTATATATTATAAAATACTGTCCAATTTTACGTGGCAAAAAAAAAAAATAAAAAAAAAATCTCTCTATACAGATTTCATCAAATCCAAAAAGCAATTAGCCAATTGTGTTTACATGAGGCAAGCTTCCTATTTCTGTACTACCTAGTAGAGAAAACAGTCTGTTAATAATTTTTTTCTTAATACAAAATTTTACACTGCAGAGGAACTGTTCTGCCTTGCTTATGACAGTGAAACATTCCTCACTTCTACTTACTCATTTCAAAAAGGCTATTTTAGCTGAGGATTATGAATTTATCTATTTGAATATAAAGCAAGATCCTTTAGTTATCTGCATAAAATTAACCTGAAAGCTGCTCAGTGCTGCATATGTAAGATGAATACCAAATGATGCATTTTTCTTCAGTTAATGCAGGGGTGAAACTCATTTGGCCCCACAGGCCAGATGACTGACATGAGGCCTGTCTGTGGGCCGGATTGGACCCATAGACTGGTCCTGTGTGCTGGATCCAGTGCTACACGCAGCAGCTACTCCAAGACATGCTGTTGGATCCGGCATGCTTGAATGGGTGCCATATGCAACAAGGTGACTGGAATGAGTAATGCATGTAAGGTCATCTGGTACATCCCATGTGCATGTTGCTTGTGGGTCAACTCTGAGACCTACAGGCAGCACCAGGGGCCAGATGAAAGGGCTCCATGGGGTGGATCCAGCCCACACACCATACCTTTAACACCCATGAGTTAATGAGTTGTATGTTTTAAAAGCTCCATCTCCGCATTTTGATGCATTCCCACACTTCCAATCCACCCTCTATCTATAAGCATTTACAGATGCACACACTTTTTACATATGTGACTAGTCCCATTAACTGAGAAGACACGAGCACATTAAGTGCACCCATAGCTGTTGGCAGCATCAGATCATGTATCAAAAACTAGTATAAATAGCTCAAGCAAAAGCATGCAAAAATAAGATACAAGAGAAAAGGTTACCTTACCTGATCATCATTTTCATCTGAAAAGGTTATTGATGTAAGTTTGTAACTATTTTTCAATAAAAACTCGTTGACTAGGAAGTTTAGAGCTCTTTTTTCAAGAGGTTTGATTGGCTCCTGGGAAAAAAGAAAAACAAGAACTAAGTCTTAAACTCATCTTCACTGCAATTACTGTGACAGCTGCATGTTAATTGAAGTTACTGGGTCAATCACTGTCTGCCACCTACCTGAATTTCAGGACTTGATTTATAATTTTTTCGTTCCTGCAATGGAACTTCGTTTTCTGTTTTAAAAAAAAGGAAAAAGAAAAGAAAAAAAAAAAAAAAAAAAAGAGGTAATACAATTTATTTTATTTAACATGGAAAGAGCACAGCTACTTCTACATTGTCAAAGCAGAAATACTAAGAAAAAGTTTTATGTACACCACCTGCAGCCTGAGTCAGGTTGGCTCGGAGGGCCTGAATGGTCTCCTTGGCTTTCCGTAGTTCAAACTCCAGGACTGGACAGGGATTTGGATTAAACACACACAGGCATCCAACCAAGGAAAGGGAAACAAAAATAAAATATAAAAAGCAAGGATGGGTGTGAAAAAAAATATACAGTTTGTATTAAACAGAAAGCATGCTGTCTTATGGAATTCATGAACACATGCAGCAGAGTTGGCCTGAAAGCAAACTGGTGAACATTTTCCATAATTATATTATTCTAGAGTTAACCAAAGAAGAATTTCAAGCGGTCTGACAAGGAATGACTATAAATTATTGGATTATGTTTCTTTATTTTGCATTATGTTGAAGAAAGACTGAAATCTCTTCCCCTCTACTCCACCCTCAAATCTTGAAGTCCAAATATGCTCTGATCTTTTGGCCAAAACCAAATGGAGAGGCATAAACATAACGAGATTAACTACAGATTTAATGGAAGAAATCTGTACATGGCAAAACTGAAACCATTTAGAATGGCCTGGAATTACCAGACATTAAAGGTATGTAATGATTTTTATTTTAATAAAGAAGTTAGACACCCCTGATTTAAAGCAGGAAATTAAAAGTGCCTAACTTACCTGGACCAGCAGACCAGATTGTGCCCAGATCCTGGCCAGAATATACTGAGAAATGCACAGCTAAACCACATCTAATTACAGTGCTCAAAGGAAGTTTGTAGCATAATGCCTGGCTTTCTTTCTTTAGTCTTAATAAATATTTCCAGTGGAAGTGTTACCCTATGCTACATGGCTAAACACCTAGGGATCAATTGGACTTGATTTCAAACAAGAGATTCAAAGATAATATTTAGCTGTTCAGTCTCTACTATGAAATGTTGTAATGCTGCAACAACATTAACTCTAAGCAGTATTTGAATCAAGACACCTTTCCGTTGCCTTGGAAGTCATGAGCTCGAAGTCAGCACTGAGTAGGTTGGTGCCAGTTTAATATAAACTTTGAACTTTCTTGAAGTTGGTAAATTATTTCTTTCCAGTCATACTTAGAATGTCTGAGAAAACCTATTTTAGGGAACTTCCATTATATTCTTTTACCTTAGTGATTCAGCACGGCCAGGTACAGAGTTCATTGTGCATTAGTCTGAATAAAAGGCAGTCACATTTGGAAAACTAAAAATTATTATTATTTTTTATTTAGGAGAAACCAGCCCAGTATTTAACTAGAAATGACAAAACAACTATATACTTAGTGCCCGCTAAACAACTCCAGTTTAAATCTGTTTAAAGCTCATTTAAATTTGAATGTTCATGCACGGGTGGATCTAGGATTTAATGAAGGTGGGGTGTTGCATATTGGGTTGGGGGCTAGATCAGGGAGCAGGTGCAGGAAGGGGAGCCTTTCCCGTTGCCACTGTCCCCAGCTGACCTGGGCATAGGTTGGGGGGGGCGGGGGGCAGGAGAGGTGGGAAGAGGCATGGTAAAGAGGTATTCCTCTCACCTCATATGATTTGATGGGCACAAGGGTGGCTGCAGAGAGCAGCTGTGTGGGGTGCTACCCGCTGATGGGAACAGCAGTAGCAATGGGCAGGTTCCTCCTTCCTATGTCTGCTTCCTGCTCATCCATGCCCTTCCCCCGCCACACTGGCTGGGAGTAGACAGTGGAAGAAGGAACTGTCCCCTCACTGCCACAGTCCCTGTCCAAGCCTGGCAACCCATGCAGCTGCTCCCTGCACCTCTCAGTTGCAGCAGGGGAAAAGTGGCTCTGGAGTTTCCCTTGTACCCATATCAACTGGTGACAATAGCAGAAGCAGGAAGGTTCCTCCTTCTAGCACCTGTTCCTGGCCAGCGAGGGACATGATAGGAGAGTGGCAGGGAGAGGAAACCTTCCCCCCTCCCCACCCCCATGGTTGTAGTGCCCTGCTGAGCCCAACATACTGCAAAGCTGTAGCCTGTGGCTGCAGATAAACAGGAGGAGTGGTTCCTGGGCTCAGCTGAGGGCAGAGGTGGCAGCTGACAAGTTCCCCCTGCGCGCGGGGCGGGGGAAAGAAGAGTTGTGTGCGCATGCAACTGCCCCCCCCCACCAGATTTCCCACCTGTGTTTATAGGAAGCTTACAATGCTGCAGATACTTGTGATAAGCAAACAAATAGCTGTTCCACATAATCACTAATTAGAAACATTTTGGGGGATTTTTAAAATGATAGTGCGCTACAGAAATCAAGATTCTCATTTAATTGGTGTTTATGTGCAGGATAGTATTCAGCTCTGGGAAAACAACTCTCAGATTGAACTTCCTTGCAGAACTTTTATTAATGAAAACACTACTCTAAGAGGGCATGGAAAAAAGATTCACTCAGTTTGCATTTATTCCGTCAAAACTGAAAGAGTAACTACAGTACACCACATTTAGTACATGGAAGTAAACTTGTTTGATGCACAGAATTTTACTGCAGCAATACAGAAGCACAACTGAAGATCTGATGATAAAGTATGTAAAAAAGATCTCTCTAGTAGTCAGCAATGTTGATCTGCAAATATTTCTGTGCAACAAAGTTTGAAAACGGTATGGTATGTGAAGTAACTAATCACTTAAGTACTTGCATAAGCATGAATTCGAAAGTTACAGATCAGGATTCTAAATAGTACACTTTATTTATTCATCTTCAGAAACTTTAAAAATATTTACAAAATAAATGGAGCTCAGATTAAAATACTCAAATGTGAACACTTACTTTTGTCAAAAGAATTATTTAAAAATATTGAAAAATATAAAAATTAATGTACAGAACAATTGCAGATCAGGATTGCCCTGCACCAGAATGATATAAATAAATGTTAAAAACTAAAAGAAAACTGTTAAAAAAAACCAAAAAGAAAAAACACAAACTGGAGAAAAATCAGGAATCTCAACAAGGAGAATTGAAGCGGAAATAGGAGACGTATGACCAAAGGCATAGAAAGCCAAAAAACTCATATTGGACAAACCCATGTCAGACGGCAAGAATTAATTTTCATTCAACTGCTTTGGTGCAGAAAGACCATTTTGACTGTACCTGTTTGTTCCTCTCAAAACGGGTTACTCTGCTGCATGTTTCTCTTTAAACAGTGTAAGACTGAACACTACAAATATCTGAGAAGCATTACTTATTTTACAGTATATGATAGGCCATGGACAGACATTATGTTTGTAGTACCACAAGTGCCACAGCACTCTGGAGCACTGCCAAATGGAGAACTAGTCTCGGTCCCACACTTGCTGACAGCCTGGTTTTTTGGAGGGGGGTGAGGGGAGCAGGCAGGCTGTGCTTTCCTGAAGCTGTACTCAATGACTCCCTTTTCTTCCTCTCCCCTCACAGAAGATTGTGGGATGCTAGGGGACCAAACAATCCCTACAGCGGACTGTACACAGGTTACATGCAATACTACAAAAATACAACGCTACAGAGAAGTTCTTGCTTCATCCAGAAACATTTCTGTAGCACTTCTACCACTTTTGTAGTGAATGAACATCTGTAGCATTTCAAGGGCATATTCATGCTACAAATATAGCGTCTATCTATGGCTATAATGGCCACAAAACAGCATTGTTACAGTTAGAAACAGTAAGTAATGAAATCACAAACCTAACTCTATTATTTCAATTTCCATCAGGCTGACAAAATTATAGTTTTCAGCAATCCAGAGACATCGTTCAAGCCACAAATTCAGTTTTACTTTAAAAAGTACGTTTGCTTTTATTTATGCGTAAGGTCTTATAAGCCATTAGTCCAGAATATGTAAGACGGCTTTAAAAAGAACATTTGATTTAAGAGAGAATTACACTTATTTCAGCAGTTGCTTATTTCTACAGAATTGTAAGTAGCAGGGCTGGAAGGGACCTCCAGAGGTCATCTAGTCCAGGGGTTCCCAACCTTTTTATGCTGCGGACCGGCAAACCGCAGATCAGCAGTGGGCATACTGTGGGCTAGCAGCCAACCCTTTTTTATACCCAGTATAAAGAAGGGTTGCCTGCCGGTCCACAGAATGCGAGTCATTTCTGGACTTCCAGTCTGGCAGCCAAACTCCCTGTGGAGTGGGGTTTGGGAACCCCTGATCTAGTTCAACCTTGTCTGAGACAGGATCATCTCTATCCAAACCTTTCCATAAGAATCCTTGCCCAACCAATTACTAAACTCTACAAATTAATACTGTTGTACAGCTAGAAGACATAGCACCTTAACCTGCCAGAGGTAAAGCGGGGAGGGGGGGCGGCGGGAGTCTTGGTCAGTGTCCTACTGCTGCAGCAGTTGCTTAAATGCATTCAAGAGACACAAGAAAGACTGCCATTCCCCTCCTCCTCCAGAAGGAAGGCAACAGAGGAAGGCAAAAGAGCCTCACAGTCGATACCAATTCCAAATGTTTTGTTGTTGAATCTTTGCCATACTACACTGTTCAGCATTAAAAGTTTGCTGATGGTTACATCTCTATCTCAGGAGAAATTTATTCAATAGAAAAAAAAAAAAAAAAGCCAAGCAGCCTCATTTCTGGGTGAGAACCACTGGCAAATATGACAGTTTTTTATTTAAATAGTGACCTATTGCCTATATCGTATTATCAAGGCAGCTGATGAACACTGGAAACACCCTACCAATGAACTGAAGGAGCCTATTAGATCAGTGGTGCTCAAAACTTCTGGTTTCGTGGGCTGGCTAAGTGGCACGAGGCCAGTCTGTGGGCTGGATTCCTATCTGACTGTGGAGGCTCCCCACAGGTCTGCACATTCAGGCTGCGGGGAGTGGTGGCGGTATTAACTGTTGCAGCTCTGGAAGCAGCAACAATTAATGCTCCCACTGCTTCCCTGCTGCTCAATTTCTGGATCCATGGGGAGCCCTACAGGCTAGATGTTGAGCACTACTGCACTAGGTGCATAGTGCCATGTTGGACAGAGCTCCTAACAGAAGTAAGCCCATCCTGGGAGGAAACAACCAACAGCTGGGGCTGAGAGAGAGCAATCTATGGAAGTCTACTAGTTTGGTAGGGTTGGGGTGGGACTTGCTAAACATGCTGGAGTCAAGTTTC